GATGGAGGAGATGTGCCCATAAAACGTATATGCCTCGTGTCAAGAGATGGAGAGGAAGGGCTATAGCTAATATGAAGGCTACACTTAATGTGTGAGGTGTTGAGGAATGGCTTGAACTTTGGTAAATGAAATTAAGCAAAGCTTTTCGTACTCAACCATTTCATTATGTGGTATTTTTCTTCCAGACGCCTATGCGTGATGATTCCACCCTCTGCAACAAGCCCTATCAGCGATGCTGCACTCTTGTCCAGTGTGGCTTCTCAGGAAATCTGGAGGTCACAAGTTCCAGGCTATTCTGGGTCGGTCACACGGCACATAAGTCATCGGGCCAACAACTTCAAGAGACATCCAAAACGGAGAAAACACATCCACCCTTCACCACCGCCACCGCCAAATACTCCATGTCCTATTGATTTGATTGACTTTGTGGATCGCCAGCCTCAGAGGTCTTTCCTAGAACTCCTGTTTAATGGGTGCATTCTCTTTGGGCTTGAGTTCAGCTATGCCATGGAAACAGCCTATGTTACCCCTGTGCTGCTTCAGATGGGGCTTCCAGACCAACTTTATGGAATGGTGTGGTTCATCAGCCCTATACTAGGTAAGTTTTCCTTATGCTATTTCTTCCTCTTTTTTCCATTACACGAGGGCTATACGTTTTTGTTTTCTCTATCTCAGCTATTCACAAATATATTCTGTGTGCTCTTGAGGTTAAGAAGCCTTAGCCATAATTTGAGACAATCAAATACAGAAAAATGTTTGCTGTGCCTTGCCCGAAACGAGCCCAATGTGATCAAAAGGTCTGTTCTTTTAGTGTCTTCTCAGCTTCTTACATCTTGTGCAAGGGTAAGCTTTGGTGACTCTGTTCCTTTGTTTGAGAACTAGAAAAGAGGATCAGTGTATCCAGTTATGTCCCTGTGAAAAAATGTCACGCAGAGACCATTCCCCAGGGTGTGTGGAAGAAGCAAAGTGTGATTTACTTCTCCAGTTTAACTTTCTGAAAAAAGTGAGGTGTTCCAGTGATGAAAGGCAGTTGACCGTAACTGTGACAGGTGTTGGACCACTTGCCGTAGCACAGAGGCAGGGTCCAAGAGTTGTATCCATTAGTATGGGAAGAACCACAGGATGGGTTGCTACCACTTGGAAACTTTGTTCTGCCTGTTCTTGCCCTCGTGGGATGTGCTTTGGAAGAAGAGGGTAGATAGGCCCCTACTGACAGGCTGGCCCAGGGTAATACAGGCACTTTTCCAACTCTCCTGTTTGCTTCCTGCTGTCTTCCAAGCTAATTCTGCAGTGGATCTCCTATCTAGGATGCGATAAATGAAATAGATTGTAAGAAACAGAGTCCTTTAGATCGTATAGCTGTTGTACTCTTCACCTGCTATCAAACTCTGCCGTATTAATGATGCAGAGTGAACTGCCATGACAACGAGCAGTGACATACTAGGTCATTCAGTCCCTGACCTGGGAAATGCCAGGCAATACACTGTGCACGTGGTTGACTCGTATCAACTGGGAATATCACTGTGCGATGGTGTCCTGCCCTTAACTGCCTTTGAAACTACATATTTGAACTCCCTCATGAAACACGCTTGTAGAAGAATGCTACCTATTGGCAATTCTTTTTTTCTAGGATTCCTGCTACAGCCTTTGCTGGGGGCCTGGAGTGACAGATGCACATCAAGATTCGGGAGGAGAAGACCTTTCATTCTGGTCTTAGCAGTAGGTGCGTGTTTTGGAAATGATGGGCATGACACTTGTAAAGTAGAAACGTTGCACATCTCTTCTGTGCCCTTGTGGCACTGTGCTGAACAAAATACCTCTGAAGTGTTGGTTATTGTGGGTCTGAAGAAGGTGGTGAGTGGTGCTGAAGTGATGATTTGGCATCTGAAGAGGTGATGTTTTTGAGGGAAAAGAACATTTTTCTTTGACCGAAACAGAGTCCAGACCTTTGTAAGCTTGAACAGTGGGAGAAAGATCACATATACCCTATAAACCACACTTATTCCTCAGACTGTGGTAATCTGAACAAGAGCAATATTGCTTGTCGCAAGGCCGAGCAGGTAGTATATTGTTTTTAGAGCATGGAGCGATGCAGAGTTGGGGGTTTTCGCTTGCAATCAGTCAATAGATTGATCGATTTTGATTTGTTTTTATTCCCAGGAGCGTTGCTTGGGCTCACCCTTATGCTGAATGGCAAAGATATAGGGAGTGCCTTGTCTGACACTCCGACTAACCATAAATGGGGGATCATTCTTACGGTGTGTGGTGTTGTCCTCATGGACTTCAGCGCAGATTCAGCAGACAATCCCAGTCATGCCTACATGATGGATGTATGCAGCCCAGTGGATCAGGACAGGGGCCTCAACATCCATGCTTTATTAGCAGGTATGCTTTCTTGGTGCTTGATGTGAACTCTAAGTAAATAAGCTCTTGCTGTGAGAAGGTGGAGTGTAAATAACTGGTCTTTTCCTGTGTAAGCATAATAACTGAAGAGGTTGCACTAATTAACTTTGAAAACAAACTTCTGCTGACTGCAGAAGGCTTTTGTGACTATTAAAAGTCAAACAACACACAGTCTTGGGTTGTTCATCTGAAGGTCCCTCACGTCATTTATAACACGGAAAAAATTTATCAGTTGAGGGAGGAAGTTTGGCTTCCTGCAGGTGTGGGAAACACCTTTTTTAGTCGCTCTATTGGAGGGTAAAGCGTATACCGGGCCCTACATTCCCTCATCGCTGTCATCTTCAGTTGTCCTACTGCCCTAGTCTAGTTTTCCTCTTTATCAGAAGACTGTTTCATGCTCTTGAATGTGTTCGTGAGAAAGAAAGGATAGTTTCTTAAAGGCTTTCACCATGTGAGTGGGGTGAGAGAGGTATCCGGTGCTCTCAGAACTTCCATGTTGATAGATAGTAATGCAGCATCAGTTTTGTATGCTGTCAGCAAGTTGCTAAGTAATGAGCTTGCTATGCTTCCAAATTGATTTGGTCTGTCTTGGACACAGTTAGATCTGTGTTCCTCTAACTGAGTGAGGAAAATGGATTTTCACTTACTTTCAGGAAAACAGTCTTAGCTGACTGCAGAGCCTTGCCACGAGGCTGGTGGACACTTCTATTTTACGGACTGAAATAGCTGAAGGTAAAGTGGTTTGTTATTGGCAAAGAAAGACCTACCATTTTTGATTATTTGTATCATCGGTTTTACAGCACTGACCTTCTCTCTTTCTGTACCATATATGTACATCCGGACTGTCCTTGTGGTACAGATAAATGTGTTTATTACTGTATTTGAATTGAAAAGGGGTTGGGTAGTAAAAGATAAGTAACATGCTGGCTTCTGCTCACTAATAGTTAGTCAGGTCATGCTGTGCTGTTACGGACTTCAGGACTGGCTAGAGAAGATAATCTCGACTTTGTTTTTCCACCAGGTCTTGGAGGTGGCTTTGGTTATGTTGTTGGAGGAATACACTGGGATAAAACCAGTTTTGGAAAAGCTGTGGGAGGGCAACTTCGTGTCATCTATGTCTTCACCTCAGTTACACTGACTATCACTACTGTACTGACTCTAATTAGCATTCCAGAAAGACCCTTAAGGTCCTTTAGCAGGAAGAAAAAGGTGATGAAGAGTCCAAGTCTTCCTCTCCCTCCTTCTCCACCTTTTTTATTTGAGGAGGGTGTAAATGAAAACTTTGCTTCTCATAATGCAGCTGACTTGTATGAAAGTTTTACGAGTCCTGTTTCCCCCTTCAGCCCACTCACACCCAAATATGGCAGTTTTGTCAGCAGAGACAATTCCTTGACAGGAATTAATGAGTTTGCATCATCATTCGGGACTTCACATATTGACAGTGTGCTTATAGACTGTTTTACAGGCGGGCACAGTAGTTACTTAGCACTTCCAGCTAGCTTGCCAAGGCAGTCTGTCAGCGTCAGCTTTCCTCGGGTGCCTGACAGCTGTTACCAAGAAAATGGAGTTCTGGAGCAAGGCGAGAGCAGCGCGATGCCAAGGCCTGACGGTGAGGCACTGAGAGTGGGCTCACTGGATGCAGTTAAGCCACGGTCGTCAGGGATCCTGAAAAGACCTCAGACCTTGGCCATTCCAGATATTGTAACGGGACACTGTCCAGAAAATAGCAGAAGAAGAAATGTAACCTTCAGCCAACAGGTAAGGGCAGAAAATCTGTGATATGACTATGTAAACCTGAGCATTCATTTAATGTCTTTGTATGCTTTTCAACGTGTGGTGCACAAATTCATCACTAAAGACTGCTTATGACAGTTGGCTCATAAAAGTCATCATGGGAACAGCATAACTGCTCCAACTTCATTAGTAAAATAGTCGGTAGGATGGAAGTTATGACTGGCAGTCATGGACTGCTTTTATTAAGATGGCAGAAATGGGAGCATTTCGCTCTCACTCGTCTACGTGCGAAAGGTCAGTGTTTTTAGCCCTGCTTCACCACCCAGGGAGTTGCCACATGAAAGCAGAAAAAGACACGTTATTATTGAGCCTCTATCTTCCCTTTCTACAGAAATACCCACAAGATAGGGGCAGGGACAGGATTCTCTCGTGAGCTTCTCCTTATGGGAGTCATTACATCTGATTCCATGAAGAAGGTGAGGTTTTCCTTGCCCAAGGATAAGACTCTGACCTCAGCTTCCACTGTTGGTGATAACTTGGAACATCTGAGACCTCTGTATGCTGGCCCATTTTTTTTACGATCTGGGATGAGGCAAACTGCCCTCTTGTTGGGTTTTTGTTTTGGTTGTTTTTGGTTTTGTTTTTGTTCTATGTGTGTGTACAGGTTTTTTTGTGACCCAGTTTGTGAGAGCGGACTTCATTAGGGCCAGGATTTTACATAATGTGCACGTAGAGATTGAACATCAAGGGTGGCAAGCAGTGAGAATGTTTCATCTAGCTGAGAGGCGTCCCTGCCCATGACAGGGAGATTGGATTAAATGATCTCTAAGGTCCCTTCCAGCCTAGGCCATTCTATGATTCTATGACTCAGTTAAAACTGGCCTCTTCTTCCTCCACGTCTCTAATACTTCAAGAACCAAATTCACCTGAATGTGAGTACAGCTCTTATTAAATGCAATAGAGTTTATGCCTTCTCTGTGCTAGCATCTGGATGTGGTTGGCAAATACCCTAGAGAAGTGAAGAATATTATTTCAGGTATACCAAAAGCTGCAGTGCAATGATGCCATATAACACTTGTTCCAAGGCTGAGCTTCTGGCTTAGTTAAATACATTATTCTTAATCTCAAAGACAACATACTGCAGCAGCAGAGTTTTAACATTCAGCTCATCAGATAGGTGTGGAATATTGCATAGGTTTGCTCAAAGGATGTCTGGGTTTTTCCAACTGTGTTTGTTGACCCAGAAGTTGTTATGGTGCAGGTTGCGAATATCTTGCTGAATGGTGTTAAATATGAGAGCGAGCTGAACGGATCAGGCGAGACCTCCGAGCATCCACTCTCCATGAAAGCGCTTTGTTCGACCATCTGCCAGATGCCCAAGGCTCTTCGTAACCTCTGCATCAACCACTTCCTAGGTATTCAGAAAGCGCCGTCTTTTTTTTAATTGTGAAGTAGTCTGTCTTGGGTGAACGTTTTTAAATATTTTATCTATCGCTGCAGTTTCTGCTAAGTAGAGAGGACATTATTTGTTCCATATACACTCACCAATAAGGTACTTTCTGGTATTTAGTTTCTTAGAACACAGAGAAAGAAAAGAAAGCCTACATTCCTAGAATACCTAGAGAGACAATAATGGATTATATCAGCACATCCATTAAATGCAATGTTTGCATCGAGATGAGAAACACCACTGAACTAAGAACTCGAAACTGTTGACTTTTTTTTTTTTAATTTTTCAACACTCCGAAACTCATGTTTCTGAGCAGAAAAATGAGATTAGTTGTCCTTCCCCGCTTACACCTGAGACCAGCACTCACTTTGCTCCCTTTCACAGCATGTGTGTAGGGGTCCCAGAAAAGGCCTTGAGGAAGATGCAGGGTTCCCCAAATGCTGTGGGGGTGCCCCAACCAGTGTGCTCTTACATTTTTGCTTGGCGGTGCATGACTGATGGTTGGGAAGGGCTTGCTAGCAATGCAGTTTACACCAAAGGGGACAGAAGTTACCAGGTAGTTAATGCTCATTGTCTGTGAAAGGAATTAAGAAATCACCTGCATCACTGGCCTTGTTGCCAATTCATAAGTAGGAGTTTTTAGCTGTGTTGGAGGCGCTCTAGGGGCTGCAAACATGACATAATAAGCACTCTTTCCACTTCTGTGTGGGAGGACAACAGCAACCTGAAACACCTATGCGGTGAGCCGCTCTGTGAAACGGAGTGATGTGTTCTGTCTTGTCAAAACCCGAAGGCAGTTCAGACAGCTGTAATCTATTTTTTCTGTCTTGCTAAACCGACGTTCTGCGGCCTGCAGTCAGCCTCTAGGACTCCACTTAAGAATTCAAAGGATAAATCTTGGTCTTTAAAATCCTAAACGTCTTTGACAAACATTGCAGCATAATGCACAGGGAACAGCAGTCCAATAAATGTGGCTAAACATTATGTAATACTCATGTTGCCCAACCTGTCTTCAGCTGTGATTTGTAATATAGCTAATAGCATCTCTGTAAGCTTACAAGGGGAAATGTACTCTGTAATCCTAACAGGTTACTTCTGTTTCTTTCAGGATGGCTTTCTTTTGAGGGTATGTTGCTCTTCTATACTGACTTCATGGGAGAAGTAGTGTTTCGAGGGAATCCAAAAGCACCTCACAACTCAGATGAGTATCAGAAGTACAACGCTGGGGTCACCATGGGCTGCTGGGGAATGTGCATCTATGCATTCAGTGCTGCTTTCTATTCAGGTACTTAGTACAGCCATTTTAGTCACGCTGTGAGAAAGATGCACCCACTCCATAAGCGGTGTTTCTGTAACAAGTATTCCGGCATTTGTGTTGCCCACGGCCTACCTAACATATAGCATGAGTGCTGAAGCAGAGTGTTCTTTTTTGCTGTATTATCTCTTCTAGTTATCCTGGCCTGCGCTTGATGGCAGATGGAGTCAGGTGTCCAGTGGAAACACATCTTTTTCAGTATACAGTTCCTTTCACAAGTGGCATTTTCCATGTTAATTGAATCCAGGAGTACATGCAGCCACCATAGGCACAATTCTGGCACAGGAGCACACGGTGCCTGTGCTCTCCTGGCAGAGCACCCCAGTGTCACACATCACCCCAGCATCTTGTTGTGTGTCTGCCCCGCTTTCTCCCTACCCCCCAACCGGTTCTTATTTACCCCTTCAGGACAGGGGCACGCTTCAGCTCTGCTGTGCCCTGCGCATAGGTAGGGCAGCAAGGCTGCATTGTGGCAGTGGGATTTGGAAGGGATCCTTGGCGCCCGTGTGCAAGCCACGGGTTGCTCAAAGGTCACTTCCAGCCCAGGCCATTCTATGATCCCTAATATAACGGTTGCCATTGAGACGTGTCTGATTAATGGTTGGGCTGCAGG